TAAATTCCTTTCACAAAAGTTATATCTCAGAGGTTTGCCTTGCCTGCGGGTTGCCATAGCACAGAAAAACAACTTAAAATCATTTATGCCTAGATATATATTCTTCTAAGACTTCACTAACTTACTTGCTATCTGCACAAATGAATCAGTTAATTGTTCAGCTTTTTCAGTTGGACCTGGATAAGATATTATTCTACTGCAGTCTTTATTTACATGATTTTTCTTGCCTGGCCAGTGTAGTGCAGTGATTGAGTGGCAACCCATGAACGAGGAGCTCAGTATTAGAATTCTTGTTCAGGGCACATGCCTGGGTTCTGGGTTCATTCAGTAGAGGGCATGCAGGAGGCAGCCATTCGGTGAATCCCTCTTATCACTCATGCATTATCTCACTCTCCGTTCCTCTCTCTGAAGTAGATTTTAAAAAATAAGATTATTCTGAATGATTTCTAGGCCAAATTATAGTATAGTTTTGTTGTACGTTTCTTTCTTCCTTTCTTTTTTCATTCTTTCTTTTTTGCTAAGAAAACAAAAGTCTATCCATTTTAATTTTGACACTTTTATCACTTTCACATGGCCAATACTTACATATTAAGGAATTTAATCACTTTTCTAAGGAATTTAATTACTACTTCAGAAGAAGTCACCCATTCAATGGACAGTTCTCAGTATCAAGATTACAAACATATGCAGGAATGAAATGCTCCTCACGTTTGTTTCTTGACTTGTTGCTCAGGCTCGGGAAGTGTGCATACATCTGCATGGAAGGTGAATGTTTCAGCACTAAATTCTTTGGGAACATAGGTTTCATCAACCTCCAGAGCATAAAAGCATGATGGTCTGTTCACCAATGACCCTGTGCAGCATTTGGTAACTCTGTCGCTCACTGGTGACTTCTCATGTGCCACACACAACTTGTTCAGGATCTTGAACAGCTGAAGAACAGAGAGCAGAGCACAAATTCAAAACCATAATGAAAAGTTTTCTTGAACTCATATTTTCCGTTGGACCAAAAAAAGTGTTGTGTTTTAACTAGCAATGCTGAATACAAGGTTGATTTGAGGGAGTGATTTGCTTACTTCAAGTATTAAGGGACATTTATAAGTCTTTTCTCTTTTAGATATGCCTACATTTGCAGAATAATCCATTTAAAAAAGTAATTTATTAAAATAATTTGAGGTGACTCCTAGGTATGTGTTGGATTGGGGAGAAAGCAGTCATATACTGATACATTCAGGGAAAGTCCCCCCAAAAAACTAAATATATTTTCATGGATGAAACATTAAAAATTCATGGAATTTTTTTCAGCATAATTTATCATCTCAAGAATCTTATCTAAATCCTGATTCTGATAGTCAGGATAATGTAGACATCCAAGTCCTGGCTAACCCTCACGCACACACACACACACACACACACAATTAGTTCACTCTTGCTTCTGAAAGTTAATTTTGTGAATATTTCAAAGCCAAATTTCATCATTGTTGACTTATTATATTTTAAAGGACTCACATGGTCATCAGAACAAGCTGTTCTCTGTGATTCAGGGAGCTTACAACACTCACTGCCCGCTCTTGCAAGTTTTCTTGAGAAATCCACAAGAGTTGGAGTTGACACTTGGGGTACTTTCTTGGTGTAATCAACTAAGACCCTGCAACAAAAGAGTCCATGAGTTCTCTTCAGGCAAGAAACTACTTTTTCTAGCATAGTAGGTGAAGTAGAGAACTTAGACAAAATCAATTACAATAATTTTCTATT